AAAAAAAAAAAGTTCCCGTCATGATTGGATATCTTTCCGATTCATAAAATTTGCAATCGAATGATACCAATATTGCGAAAACAAATTTTTTTTTGTTAATTTATTAATTGTTTAAACAAATAGAAAAAATAAAAAAAAAAAGTTCCCGTCATGATTGGATATCTTTCCGATTCATAAAATTTGCAATCGAATGATACCAATATTGCGAAAACAAATTTTTTTTTGTTAATTTATTAATTGTTTAAACAAATAGAAAAAATAAAAAAAAAAAGTTCCCGTCATGATTGGATATCTTTCCGATTCATAAAATTTGCAATCGAATGATACCAATATTGCGAAAACAAATTTTTTTTTGTTAATTTATTAATTGTTTAAACAAATAGAAAAAATTAAAAAAAAAAGTTCCCGTCACGATTGGATATCTTTCCGATTCATAAAATTTGCAATCGAATGATACCAATATTGCGAAAACAAATTTTTTTTTGTTAATTTATTAATTGTTTAAACAAATAGAAAAAATAAAAAAAAAAAAGTTCCCGTCATGATTGGATATCTTTCCGATTCATAAAATTTGCAATCGAATGATACCAATATTGCAAAAACAAATTTTTTTTGTTAACTAACTATTTGTTCAAACAAATAGAAAAATTATTTATTAAAAAAGTTCTTCACACGATAGAATATCTTTACGATTCATGAAATTCTGAATCGATTGATACCTATATTGTGAGATCGATTTTTCAAAAGTTAATTAAGACTTAGAAAAAAATTATAAAAATCTGGGCGGGCACTTAATTGTTATTATTCGCTTCACATTATTATTATTTCCCCTATCATCCTCCGACAACGGCTCAAGGGGAATGGCGCACGCGCACTTCCTTGGAACCGTACATCGAATCCCGGTAGAGCTCATATTTTTTTAAACTTATTAGCTGTATATTTGCATTGAAAAAAATTAAAAAAAAAATTTTTTTTTTCGTATCGATTTTTTGTTACCGGAAAAACATTTTTATGCAAAAAAAATAATTTAATTTTTATTTTAACTATTTTTTAATGCAAAAATTCAAAAAAATGAAAGTTATTCATATAAATTCAAAAAAATTTTTTTGAGCTTAGCTGAATTTTTTGCTTATAAAAGACAACAAAAGCTTTTATTTAAAAAAAAAAAAGTAAATCGATCGATTTTTCGCGGAGTTACAGCTGTTTGTTTATAAGCGCTCGAGCGGTACTGCGCTTTTTTTTATTAAAAAATTAATATCTCGTAAACTATTGATCGTACAGACATCGGGCTTAGCTCATTTTTTTCCTTATTAAATTCTCTAAATTTCATACGCAGCATGTCTCGACTACTTTTGCGTAGCTTCCGAGATATTTTAATTTAAATCTCGACGCTAAAACGCTATTTTTTAAACAAAAAAAAAGCAACACTTCCGACATACACACAAATGTTTAGAATATTTTTCTGAGTATTTTAAAATAAAAAAATCCAAAATCGGACCATTTTGTCGAAAAGTTGCCAACAAACCCCTTTTTATTTCCAGGCCGACTGGACTATATTTTTTTCCCCGAGGAAGGCGGAAAGCAGCAACTTCGTTTTGCGCAGCAGGGCTAAAGTTGACGTTTTACGCTCAGAGGGGAAAAAAATTTTTATTTTTATCAAAAGTAGGAAGTTATAGGTTTTCGTTCGATTTTGAGAATACGAGTTTTCATCAGATGTCCACGTTTTGAGGTCCTGGAAAGCTGCTTCAATTGTTTTAACTGGGCATCCGATCGCACGCGCAAGTGTGTGCATGCATGCATGTATGTATGTATGTATGTATGTATGTAAATTAAATTTGTCACATCTGTAAAATTAACATTTAAATAATCACAAATAAATTTTTTTGCATGAATAATGATAGTGATACTGATGGTCAGAGCTGGGTGAGTTAATACCAGCTTCACATACGTATAATTTCGTCGTACGATATCTTTAAAAACGAATCAATTCATCGAGATGGACGACACGGTGTTCGAAAGTTTTTATCGAGACTTCGAGCTGATTAGATTTAGAAGTCGATCGGTCTAGCCGTTTCAAAAGTATTCAAAAAATAAAAACAAAAAAAAATTTTTCTCAAGTTTTTTCTAAATAACTTTCAAAATATTTGCCTAATTAACTTCAAACTTCAGACACATTTTTTTTTTAACTAATAGAAAGATTTTCGAGCGTTTCAAGCTCGAAAAAGCGCGAAGTTCCAGTGGCCTGCTGATCAACCGTTTTTTAGATTTTTGTATTTTGTTTTTCTTAAGCTGGAGTAATAAATGTACTCATATTCATTTATTAAATATTTTATTATTTTTATTTTTTTCAGTCCAATTTAATTTTTTGATGCTCCGTCATTAATTTAAAACATCTGTATCTAGTTATTACTTAATTAATAAAAAAAAAAATGATTGTCGACAATAGTACGGCAAGTAGTACAATGGTAATTATTTTCACAATAAAAATTGACTCGAGCCCTATTAAGGCAACTGATTCGGAAGCGAGGATGAATAGTTGAAATGGAAAAATAACCGTGGCCGATTACAGTGAATTGCTACTTGATTTATACTCTTGTCCCAGCTGATCAATAAAAAAAATTATTTGATAAATATACCAAATGAATTAATGAATAATAAAAATAAGTGACGACAAACCTGACACTTTCGAGAGGTTGGATTATTATTTCAATTCAATTTAATTCTTTTGCATTTGCCACATAAAATACCCATAGGATGCTGAGCTCCGTTATTTGTGCCGAAGCTTATCCTAACTTGATGAATTTTGCAACAATTAATTCGCAGACTAATTTTAAAAGCGGATCGTTACCAGATGCTTTTGTTAAATTCTTGTCATGGTTTTTTAAAACATCAAATGCAGCATCTATATTATTTTAAGTTTAATTTAAGAATTTAAGTTTGATCGGTAGTTAAGATTATTTTTTAGATCTTATTTTTTTAAAGGTGGATTATTCTATATTCTTGTATAGATAAATTTGGCGTTTATTGAGTTGCTTAAAATTCTTAATAGTTCTTACAATTACACCTAGCAATAATTAAATATTTAAATACAAGTCGACCAATTTTTGTAGCAAAATAATTAATATTAATTTATCAACTTCAATCTTGAAAACGTTAACTTTTGTACCTACTAAAGTCTTTAGACTTTAAAATAAATTTTTCTCGTTTACTTTTATTGTTGAAATTTCAGATAATTCCATCACTCATTATTTATTCTTTTATGTTTTGCACTTAGATACTTTTTTTTGTAGGATAAATTAGCCAATACTTTATTGTTTGCAAGTAATATATATTTTGTTGATAAAATATCACTAAAATTTTGACGTATGCCGATACACATATATATTATGGTGGTTTATTTTAATTACTTGAAATTTTTTCAGAAATGAAATAATGACATGATGCTTATTTCTTATAAGTACTAAGACAAATAAATTCATCTTTATAGCAATCTAAAAGTTACAAAATATTACCACACCTAAAGTACATTTCAGTATTTTTTTTAATACGTTGAATTTATTGTAACTAAGAACAAAATAAAATTACAACATAAATAATACAAGAAAAACGGATCACATAAATGTTTTAATTTTAACGTAAAAACATAGATCGCAAGAAAACATTACATATCAGTAATCATTTATATCAATTATACGTACTATTATCATCTTAAAATATTATATATATATATATATATATATATATATATATATATATATATATATATACTCAAGGAAATATGAGAATAGTTTTCTTTTCTGCAATAATAACTTTATATAAGGATTTTCATAAACTAACGATAAGTACATGTATTGCAATATTTGAGCAATTATAATTTTTAAAAATAAACTCATTACCAAATATTCAATAGCATGTAGAGTAATTAGCGTAAATGAAAAACTTTTATTCTCCTATTCATTAAAAGCATTATAATTATATCTTATCATCATCATTAAAACCACATTCAAGTATTTATTTTTGCGTCTAATGGTGAAATTTAAAATATGCCAGCATGCAGGCTAATAGATACACTTAATTATCTACGAAATCAAGTAAAGGAATAAAAAATTGTCTATGAACAATGTATCCAAATAATACTATGCTTGATTGAATATGATCGTGTCCATGTGTCCATAATAAACGGTACGATTTTTAAATTAAATTTTTGTAAATATAAGTTCCTATTACGGCAATATTGATCATTGGATAATTGTCGTATACACAGAAAAATCAATATATGCAATTTTAATCAGTAAGTCAATACTCGTGAATCATTTCAATGCTTTTAAGAATTTATCTGAATTTAAATTCAATGATGCAAGATATTTAAATTTACTGGCTTAAATAATAAATATATTTCATAAAAAATGAATATGAATATTAGTTCCATTATATTATGTCAATTTAATTCAATTTTTTGGTCCTTAGTCATAAAATTCAAGCAAACAATGTATGCTTTTAAACACCCACTCTACTTAAGAATAAAATTGCATTGAATGTTCTTAATAAAGTAAGCTATTCGTATTTTATTTTTATAGTAGATATTTTTATATTAGATATTCTAATTAAAGCTCATAATTAGATTATACATTCAGACGTTAGACTGATTACACGAACACAATACTTTTATAAATGTAATTTTCAACATACAAATATTTTCTGCTATTTTTTTTTCTCTACTAATAAGTCATTATATAATTTTTACTGTTTTGTTATGAAAATATTATAATCATTTACATAAGTTATATATAATAAATATATTATTTTGTCTTTCATCTTTAATCAGTATTATTATAAATAATAAGATAGTTATACTTTTAATATTTATCTCTTCTAAAGACTGTTTTATAATACTTTTATACATATTTTCCTTTGAAAATTTTCAATTTATTGGCTATCCAGTCTTACAACAATTTTTTTCTCTAATTATTTATAATATCGTTAACCTGTATGGAGGTAATACAGGCTAACGATATTATAAATAACTAGAGAATAAAATTGTTGTATTAAACTGGATAGCCAATAAATTGAAAATTTTCAAAGGAAAATATGTATAAAAATAATTATAGATATAAAATAGTCTTTTGTCTAATAATAAATAAATAATACGACCGTAATCATACTTTTTTTGTTTCATTTAAAATGTAGAACATTCCATGAGATATGATCTCAGTAAATTCACCAATAAATTGTGGCTGTAACAACATATCATTAAAAAATCTCCATGAACCGGTTAAACTTTGGCAATATGCTATATAATGCCCTTTTTGATATCCTATTACTCCAGACAAACTGCAATCGATAAAGAAAAGTTAGTAACAAAATTTACTTTAATTGTAAAAACTAAAAAATAAAAATGTACAGACCGATAGCATAGTTGTTTTTTTTCTCCTGCTAAGTTGTTTTCTAGGAAATTTAAGTATCTTGGGAGTTCACGTAGCTTACACTTTTTGGATTCTTTGGTGTTTAATGATTGCACGTCTAACTCTATATAAATATATGTATTAAGCGTTCTTGAAACTATTAAATTTTTTTCATGACAGTTTTTGCAATATAAATCACGCGTTAAACCACGAAAATTGATTGCTTTTTCAAGATTACTAAATCCACGATCCAGTACTATATTATAATCTACAGTCATAACCGGTACATTTCGTTGAGAATCTTTACAACTTGATGACAGACATGAAACTTTTTCAAACATACTGGGTTCATTTAAAAATATTTTGTTCCATAAATTATTTACATTATCGAAGCAATCAATGACGCGAGATATAAATTCAGTACCAGAATTTTCATCTTCAGATGTTTCCACTTCCATTTGTGTAAGTTCGCTGGTTTTATAAATCTGATATAAAATTTCAAATCGTTCAGTGTAAATTTTTTCAAATGTTTTTGAAGTTAAACCCATTGATGCAAAGTAAGCTGCCAATAAAAATGTTTTATTTTTAGAATTTTTTAAAAAGTCATGAAATTCATGATTTTCTAATGCTCTATTAAATATAATTTGGACAATGCTATCAAATGGGCACGTATTGTAAGCGAACCAGCATTGGTCTTGAAAATTTACAGGTCCTGAATGATTACCATTTAATAATAAATTATAAGCCATGCTTTTATTTTTTACCATTTTCGTTTTTTCTTTTTTTTCCACTCCTTTATTAATCAACTTAATATCCAAGCAATTTTTAAAGTATTTACCCTCATTCTTTCTTTGTTTGGACAAATTCTTTACTGCGGCATCTAAATTATTATTTTTTGTTACATCTGTGAAAGGTAAATTATCTTTTAAAGTATAACTATGATCTTGTTCTATTGAATCGCTTAAGCTTATTGTAAAAATTTCAGTTTGGTCAACATGTAATTCATTAACATCATTTTCTTTATCTTCATCAGCTTCAGAATAACTTGGAACTTGATTTCCATCATCATCATCATTTTTATTATTATTATTATTATTATTATTATTATTGTTATCATCATTAGAATTACTTGAAGCATTCACGTATGAATTTTTAGGATCGTTATTTGCTGATGAAGGATTATTAGAGTGGATCCAATTAAACTTTTGGTGTTTTGGATCATTACCACGTCCCATCCAATTTTCATGATCTGGTTTATTGTCTTCATCGTCTTTGTCATCATCATTATCATCAGCATCTTCAATTATTATTTCATTTTTTACATTCTTCGGAGCATTAAGATTATCATCAATAAATTTTGTTAATTTACTTTGTAATATTTTCACACCCCCAATTATCATTTTTAGGTGTGCTTTGATGAAGATATCTACTCTAGCTGGAAGTGAAATAATTTTTTTAAGAAGAGCCTTTAAATCTTTAAAATTTTCTTCAATGAATGAAGATGATGGACGTAAATTTGTTTACTTAATACACACGTTAGACCACAATGGGAATTCTTTTATTTTATCCTTGAATGGTTTCCCTAATGTAGGTAGATAAAAGCAATTCAATTTTTCACCAACCGCTGTTACATTAAGAGACTGAGTTTCTAGTTCTTTGACCCAACTGGTAATTTTGTCAATCTCAATTATTTCAACACTCTTATCATCATTCAATAAATTACTTTTATTTTGATCGAAATCAATATCTTTAATTTTTTCTTCTATTTCATCAATGAAAACATTACTTTTCTCAGCAGAAATCAAATTTTCTAAAATTTGTCGAGCCTTTAAAGGAGTTATTTCTTCATTGTCGTAATTAACGACAGAATCTTCGCAATCAACATTCGCCACAATCAAAATAAGGATTGGAAGTCGCTCAAAAGATTTAAAATCTTTGGAATCCACAAGTAATCCAATACAGTACATATAAAAGGATTTTACACTCTTATGTACTACAGACTTCCAACAATCACAAGTACTTACTGTGTGCATAAAATGAGCTGTATCTAAACGTATATATGTAGTTATTGAGTTAGTTTTAGTATTACTTTGAGCGGTTTTAAAGCATAATTTAATGTAGTTAGATAAAGTGTAGCTATTAAATGTTAAGCAAGTAGCATTTAAGAGGGCTCGTGCTCCATCACAAACAATTTCCTTAGGTTTATTGACTTTTAAACGCAGCCATCTTGTCAACCATAGATAGATAATATCCGTGTCATGAATCTCAGAGAGCATTTGGTAAATTGATTGGCTGGAACCATTGAAATTTATTACTATTTGGTATAAGAATATGTAGCTTGTTTTTTCGTTTTTTCCATCTAAAAATTTACGCACGACTCCTCCCGTAGCATCGATGGCAATTGATGAATCTCGCTTATGGATGCACGATATTCTTTATAGCAATGAAGCTGAGACGAAGACAAATAAAATGTGAAAAAAGGTCCATCACCTATTTGTAGAATAGAATCTATATAAACTGGATCGTCCTTCATATTCTGAATAGTTCTTATGAGGTCCCGCCGATCTTCAGGCTTGATGCCAAACTGTTGTTCAGTCGATTCCTTTTTTAATTGATACAAAACATTATCTGAAAATAGCACAGGACACTGTGTATCGCCAGGTTTAAGTAAATCATTAGCTACTTGATTACGCGAACCTAATACACCTTTTTCTTTGACGTCTTTTCGTAATATATCTCGTCGTTCATTTTGTAAGGGTCTTTTGCAATCCTCATGCTGGTCAAAACGAGTATCACGGCATTGAAAACGTACAGTTACTGAACCTATATCCCCTGGATCTTTTTCGATGTAACCGAATACAGGATTTTTGCAACTTTTACTTTTGCACTGACCCTGCATTATAGCGTAATAACCCCCATTTATTTGGATTGAACCCTTTTTGAAAACAAACGCACACTTCAACCTATATTGTTTCCAAAATTCAAACGAAAGTATGTCGGTCCAAACTCGCTGACGTAGTTCAACATTGACAGATCCATCCTCATTCTTAATCTGTACCTTTATATGATTCCATAAGTTTCTATCAATAACAACATCAAAATTATCAAGATCAGGACGTTCTTTGCTATAAAGTTTATTTACATAATCTTTATCATTTTTGTCATCATCAGCATCAGTATCATCATCATCATTATCGTTATCAGTATCTTCATCATCGTCGTGAGTTTTTTCATTAGTTTTTTTTTCTATAAAATAACCAGACTGCTCTCTTGCTATGGTTAAAATGTTCCTCCTATTTTCTTTGATGTTAGTACGCATTGACTCTTTAGACCACTTGTATTTTAATATTTCCGGTTCTTGTGAGATTTCTTTCCATACAGGAGAATTCCAGGCAGGCAGAGTATCCGTAATAAAGTAACTAAGATATCTCTTTATAACTGTCACAGCCTCTTCAACGGGTACAGCGCACCGTGCAGGCATATTGAATACACTTAAAACCTTGAAAAAAAAGTTTAAATTAATTATAAATAAAACAAAATAATAATTAAGAAATAATAGTTACTGTTCTATCGAAAACAATTATTTATTTCATTCTTGATTAGTATATATTCGATGCGATTTTTTTATTATGAGATGTCGGAAAGTAAAGGTCACACAATGATTGGCTTTTGTTTTACGTTTATACATAAACATATAATACACGAGTCGTATGCATCAAATGTGTGAATAAAATATTATGTACTTTTATAAACATGAAAGAATACACATTTCGAATATCAAAGTTTTTTATAATAAGAAATAATAAATTTCTTTATATTATCTAAATGATTTAAAAAAATATTTATTAATTATTTCACTGTTGCTTAAAATCAACAAACATTTTATAACAATCTACATTACCAACTGATGTTCAGTTTATATAATTATTATCACTAATTTATGAAAAAATGTCTAAGGAAACAGCATTTTAAAAATTTATGATTTAATTGAGGAAAAAATCGTCTTAAGAATATTTAAATTCTGACATATTTCTATTTATAGTTATCGTCCATGAATCAAAAAAAATTTTTAAAGATAAAAATGTATAAATTTACGAACAATTCATAAATATAAAACAATACTATCATAAATTTTATTATAAAATCATTTAATGTTTTTTTTTAAGATTTTAATAGTGAATAATTTATTGTTAGAGTTAAGATTTTATTCTGTGTATCCATATTCTCATATATATACCAGCGCAGCTTTCATATTTATAAATTTTTATGAAATAGAATTGTTTTAGGCGAAAAAGCGTATGAAAATTTATTTCACGTTAATTTATTTATCTCAATTCATTTAACAGAAGGTTCAATCTTAATTTATGAAGATGAAATTTTGCAACAATTATTTACCTGCAATTCAAAAATAGCCTGAAGAAAATGACAGAATGCTGTGAGTACAGTCCAGCATTCTAAACTCATCTTCACTGAATCCAATTCTTCAATCTGAAAGTTTTTACATAAATTTCAAGTGTTTTGACGAATATTAAAAATATATAATATAATACTTATAATTATAAAAATATATATAATCGATTGAAAAATTTAATCTCAAATAATAAAGCAAAAATCTTTTATTTTTAATTTTTTTCCTTTAATTTCTCAACACTATGAGAAGTTTCGTAAGAAGTATAACAGATTTTCCAAGTGGCTACTTAGCTACTACTTGGCTACTTTGAACAGGGTCAAAATATTAAAATATAATAAATAAAAAATACCTCGAAAGATGGAGTTGATTACGGCATGAACGACGATGTTAGGGAATGGATTTTCACGACGCTAGTGGTTTTGTGTTGATGGACTAAAAGAGCGTTTCCACGTAATTTGTCAATTATCTGCATCATCACGAAAGACGACAACACAAGATGGAAATTTATTTGCATTTAATTTTGTATTTACACGATGGCTTGACCATGTTGATGCTGAACATGTCAAAATATCTAATTAAAAAAAAAATTATATTTTTAAAATGTTAAAATAATTAGTCATTCATGAAAAAAATCAGTCAAATAGTTATTTTACAAATAATAAGCAATGCTTGATTTAAATATCAATCCACCGAAATAATTAGAACATACAAGTATAATTTTTATTCAATCATTTTATTAAGGGGGAACACCACTGTGACGATCGAAAAAAAAAGGTGATTTTCAGGAATGTTTTTGACAGGGAAAATAAAGGAATTTGGGAATCGGATTTTTTTTTTCCACGGTCGGTTCGATAACTCAAAAACAAATCATCTGAAATTAAAAACTCAAATTTCTTTTTAATCAGTAAGGATGTAGTTATGTACGGAATTAAAAAATTTATTTCAAAGATTTTTTAGCCGGGTTTAAATAAAAAAAACAGTAAGAACGGTGAGAAAATTAATTAAATATTTTTTAATAAAAATTCAGCGTAATCATCTTTAATGTACCCTTTATAAAATAAAAAAAAATCCGATCCCCAAATTCCTTTATTTTCCCTGTCAAAAAAATTCCGGAAAATCACCTCTTTTTTTCGATCGTCACAGTGGTGTTCCCCCTTAAATGATTAAACTTAACGCAATTGTTCAATAGAGATTAATTAGTCTTCATTGATTTATAATTGTGATAAAAAACAAAAATATTTGGCTATCAGTGTTCCTATTACCTGCTCCTTCTTTTCTTTCTACTTGATCATGTTGACACAAGCACGCTAGAAATAATTCTGAATCTGAATCAGCACTTCTCACAAGGTTTAAGTCCTCCTAAAATATTTTATTTATTATTTTTTAAATCAGTTGAAAGTTAAATTCAAATAAAACCGTACCTGAGATAATTGCTGTGCTATTTTAAAAAGTGTAGTGAATAGCATGCAGCAAACATGAGAATTCACCAGCAAAGTCGGTTGTGAGTATGTTCGAAATGGCTTTATGTGAAGGGTGTTAAAGTCACTCCAAACCCTCGCCATGAAAGCATTTTCATTAAGTCGCACCAACGACAACGAAGGTGATTTGTACGCAGCTTAAATCGAGCTACTTCCACCCATACTTTTTGCATCTCCCTGCGAGTAATTATCTTGCGTCGAACTGGACTGTAATACATAAAATATTTAACACATCAAAATTGAATATTGCATTTAATTTGTACTGATTTAAAATTAAAATGTATAATAAGAATATTTATAATTGTAGTGCAAGAGCTGTGAGATAATACAGCTAAATATAAATGTGAATATAAACAAAATGACGAATGAATCCAATACGTATGAAAAATACTTACATTTATACCTTGATTATAAGTGACAGATGTTGATGAAATAAGTCTGTCTATTTCTTTGTCTAATTCAATTCTATATTAATAATAATTATTATTTTTATTTTATAATTTTAAATGTGTATGTATTAATTTTATAAACCTAATACTTACGGAATTTCAAACCAATTAAGAAATATAATAAGACTTATAGTTGTCAACATTGATTTTCGCGCATCGGCAATGGTATTTCTTTCTACTTGGATGAAACACATGGCTCCTCTTAAACTGATTAATATCACAAACATTTTGATGGTATCGGTTGATTGTGTTTGATGACTACGACATCTACCACGACTGGCATATGATGAATCGTGTTTTTTCTGATGATTGTTCTTAATAAATTTTGAATTATCTCTCCCGTAATTAGACCTATCATTAAAAAATCAAATTGTATATTTATTAATCAATAATTAATAGGATAAAGACCCCATTAGTGGCAGGGACCCCATTACTGACACTTTCTTTGATTTTGATATTTATTCAATCAATGAAATCATTAATTTAATAATGAATATATTATTTTTAATATTTAAGACCTTTAGATCAAAAAAATTTCTAATTTTTATTCCAAGTAGAACATTTTTTCAGTGAAAGAAAAAGTGCCACTACTAGGGATTAAAGGGGCCACTAATTGGGGTCTTTTACCCTATATAGTTATTTTAAAAGTGATAAAAATTTTTAATTAATCAAAATAAATTGCGGCAAGACTTGTTTCTCAAAGAATGCGATGTTTGAACGTCGAAATAGCCAATACAATATCAACACAAATGTATACAGCAGCAAATTAGGATTACCTAGACGATGTAAAGAATTGTACTTTAGCCTTCAATACAATATCTGTGGATGCTCCGTTGCAAGCTTGGTGATCAGTACAGTAGGGTTGACTGAACAGAAAACAGTAAAATTATTTGTAATTATTATCAGTCACAATCACTTCTATAAGAACGCAATAATAAAAATTACAATGATGACAGCAATCCTTCAAATATTTCATCAAAGTAATTACATTTTAATATTTAAGATGACGTAAATAGACATAGCTAATTAAAAGAATGAGAGAAAATAAGGATAAGAGGAAATACATTCACGTATAAAAATTTGCTTAGGAACAAAAAATTTGTAAGCACTTTCGCTGATGAAGACAAACTAAATTGAAAATAAAACTAAATAATATGCCTTCTCTTTGATAAAAACATGCTTAAATAGCTCCAAATAGAGAGAGTGCATAATATTATATAAATTAATTGTTTAACTATTTACCGGAGAATCAGTTTTTATAAAATGAATTTTTATTGTTATATTTACACTAAAAGTTATTGATATTAGTAATTATGCAAATTATGGAGAATAAAAATACTCCAACCCCCCATAAAACAAATGGCCACGACACAAAATTTGTGCCACACTAATTTATTTCAAGTTATTAAAGGCGAACCCGCATTACCTGATGACAGGAGATGAGAAAGATGAGAAAGAGGCAGTTATATCTTTGAAATAATATTAATTGATAGAGATAATAACAATCCCGATGAAAAAAGTTTTTGTCTAATTAGGTATTTATGATTAGATAAAAGCTTTTTTCATCGGAATAAGAATTATTATTATTATTATTTTTATTAATAATACTTGAATTTAGATTTAAATAGACCGCACAATCACTTGGAAGTTCGCGCATGCGCAGTCGGATTTTTTTTAAACGTGCAGCTGCGTGGGTGTAATTACAATAAAAAATTGATTATAAAAAAAAGTACGATCGAACGAACGTTTATTTTGATCGAACAAACAATATCTAGTTAGGATTGATAGAATAAAAAAAAAAAAACCGCAGATACCATCATATTGAGGGCTAGGTTTAGGTCAAAATTTTGAAAATTATTTATAAAAAAATGAACAACGAACAAAGAATAAAATTAATCGAACAATCACGAACAAACGACGAACAAACGATTTGGCAATAAAAAAGTTACAAAAATTGATTTCCTCCCGCCAACTTAAGAGAGCCGATATTGTTGTTGTAATTGAACAGTTGTTTGGATTAAAATTGAAATGTTTCAGAATGTTGCCAACTGAAAACCTGCCTACGTGAAATTAACGTTCGAACTAAGTGCGACTGTATTTAATACTATTTGCTATAAAATACTAGGGGGAACAATATGTACCAGATATATTTTCAGACTGAAAGAAACTAGCTTTTATGATAAATCGATGCTACCCAAACTGTTATTTTATAAGGCAATAAAAGAATTTGAGGGCATAAAGAAACCTGATTTTTTGGGCCTAAATCTATTATCCTTTGGATTGACAAACTTTTCTTGATATTTCAAGGTCATGCAAGGTTCAATAAATATCAAGAGGGACGTAGCTTGTCTTAGGAGGTACCCTGTTATTTTGAAGGACTATATAAAAATTTAAAGGCATAAAGAAACCTGATTGTTTGGGCCTCAATCGATTAAATTCAGGATTGACCCACTTTTATCAATTTTCCCGGTCATACAAGGTAAGAATAGGTTCATCAAATATTCAAAGGGACGAAGGATACTTCAGGAGGTACCCTGTAACTTTATAATACCGAAAGAAAATTTAAGGGCATGAAAAATCCTGATTGTTTGGGCCTAAATCAATTTTACTTAGGTTTGAACTACTTTTTATATTTTTCAAGGCCATACAAGGTCACAATAGGTTTTATAAATATTAATAGGGGCGAAGGATGACACACGAGGTTCCTTGTAATTTTTAAGGGCCATATAAAACTTTTAAGAAATCAAGAACCCTGATTTTGGGGCCTCAATCAATTGTACTTGGTATTGGCATATTTTTATTATTTTTTTAAAGTCATACAACGTCAAAATAGGTTCGATTAAAATTGAGAGGGACAGTGGATTACTTAGAAGGTAACTTTTGATTCTTAAGGACCATAAAAAAATTTTAGTGCATAAAGAAACCTGATTTTTTGAGCCTCAATCGATAATACTTGGGTTTGACCTACTTGTATTGATTAATCGAGGTCCCACAAGGTCAGAATAAAATCGATTAAAATTAAGAGTGACGGAGGATGACACAGGAGGTACTCTGTTATTTTTAAGGACCATAAAAAAATTTTAGGGCATAAAGATACCTGATTCTTTGGGCGTAAATCAATTGTACTTAGTTTTGACATACTTTTATCAATTTTTCAAGTTCGCACAATGCCAAAATAGGTTCAAAAAAAATTAAGAGGGACATTGGATGACTCAGAGGATACCTTGTGATTTTTGAGAAACCTAAAAAAATTTTAAGGCATAAAGTAACCTGATTTTTTGGGCCTAAATGAATTGTTCTTTGTGGTTTAACCTACTTAAATTAATTTTTCAATGTCATGCAAACTCAAAATAGGTTTAATAAAAATTAAGAGGAAGGGAGAATTACTCAGGAGGTACTCTGTAATTTTTAAGAAACACAAAAAAATTTTAAGCCATGAAATAACCTGATTGTTTGGGCATAAATCAATTTTACTTGGGTTTGAACTACTTTTTTATATTTTTCATGGCCATACAAGGTCAAAATACGTTTCATAAATATTGAGAGGGGCGGAGGATGACACAGGAGGTTCCCCGTAATTTTTGATGAGTATTATAAAAAAATTTTAAGGCATCTAGAAACCTGAATCTTTGGGCCTCAATCAATTCTACTTAGTATTCGCCTACTTTTTATAATTTTTTAAGGTTATACAAGGTCAAAATAGGTTCAATAAGAATTGAGACGGACAGTAGATGACTTAGGAGATACCTTTTGATTTTTAAGACCATAAAAATATTCAAATGCATCAAGAAACCTGATTTTTTTGGCCTAAATCAATTGTACTTGGGTTTGACATACATTTATTAATTTTTCAGGGTCATACAAGGTAAAAATAGGTGCAATAAAAATGTAGAGGACATTGGATGACTTCAGACATACCCTGTAATCTTTAAGGACCATAACAAAACATTAGGGCATGAAAAAACCTGATTTTTTGAGCCTTGATCGATAATACTTAGGTTTGACCTACTTTTATTGATTTGACAAGGACATACAAGCTCAGAATAGGTTCATTAAGAATTTGGATGGACGGAGGAGAACTCAGGAGGTACCCTGTAGTTTTATAAGACGATAAAAAAATTTAAGGGCATGAAGAAACCTGACTTTTTAGGCCTCAATCGATAATACTTAGGTTTGACCTACTTGTATTGAATTGCCAGGTAACACAAGGCCAAAATAGTTTTATCAATAATTCAGATGGACAGAGGATCACTAAGAAAGTACCCCGTAATTTTTATATGACCATAGAAAAATTTGAGGGCATCAAGAAACCTGATTTTTTGGGCCTCGATCGATAATACTTGTGTTTGACCTACTTGTACTGATTTATCCAGGTCACACATGGTCAGAATAGGATCATCAAAAATTCAGAGTGACAGAGGAGGACTCAGGAGGTACTTTGTCATTTTATAAGACCAAAAAAAATTAAAGGTCATAAAAAACCTGATTTTTTTACCCTAAATCAATTTGACTCGCAATTTACTTAGTTTTATAGATTTTTCTCCGTCATACAGGATTAAAATAGCTCCAATAAAAATTAAGAAAGAGAAAGGATCACTCAAGAGGTACTCTGTAGTTTTTAAAAACTACAAAAAA